TTGTGAACATAAACATGCATTTTAATTGGTGTATGCAAATACAAATAATTATTTTTTAAAATTTTATATTTAATATTAAAACATATAGGCATAGTTCAATTATATGAAAATAATCTATTTTTTTCTATTATATTATTTTTTAATATTTTCCTCAACCTTTCAGGCAAATTATAGACTGTATTCATAATAAATAATAATAAATAAAGGGCAAAGTAAGAGTCAACACATTTCTTTAAAAAATCACACTATTAAAAGAATATATTACAAATAGATGTAAAATTACATAATGCAAAAATAAAAAGTTACAAGTTTCGGCTATCGGATTGAGCCCTCTTCAGATACAAAACATATCAAAAAACAGTAGTACAATTAACAATTGTCGCAAATAATTATCGCAAATGTTCGCATATATGTACATAATATTCAATACGGACCGTGGTGATCCGTATCAGCGAGCGTACACAACAATCGACACACAATGTCCGTCTTTCACGTCTGTGTTTCGCTTGTTTTTATATATTCCAATGGCTATTTTCTATACTTATATGGATACACTTGTTGAGTAATTTACACATGTTTTGAACTTTTCCAAGAGATATGATACACTTTTGACTGTTCAATCGTACGTGAAGAATGTCGAGTTCTACATCAAGACTCACCCGAACTATAAATATTATGAATATGCGAACATTTGCGATAATTATTTGCGACAATTGTTAATTGTACTACTGTTTTTTGATATGTTTAATGTCTGAAGAGGGCTCAATCCGGTAGCCGAAACTTGTAATTTTTTATTTTTGCATTATGTAATTTTACCTCTCTTTATTTGTAATATATTCTTTTAATAGTGTGATTTTTTTAAAGAAATGTGTCGACTCTTACTTTGTCTTTTATTTATGTTGTATAGGAAGAGTCCTTCAATCTGTTAATTGGTATTCATAAGTTAATATTTCATATGTCATATGACAAAGCTGTTGATTGACTGTAAAACAAAGAGGTTCTCAAATCTTTCTATTCTAGCTAGTCAATATGCTAAAAAAATGTATCGTACGATCAATCAATATATGAAAAATGTATCATATGAATCAACCAATGAATTGTAATAACTCTCGCGATAATCGCCTGTTCACGTTCCTTGTATTATTTTATGCTACGCGACTCGATAACTTCTTATAACGAGCTCATATTTGCACCGAGATGATTGGTTGTAACTACGGAATTGCGCACTTGAGAAAATTCTTGTAATTGTTCTCATTTCAAATATCAAATATACGTTTGTCATTTTTTTACTATTAAAGGAAATAATTTTTATTTGTTCTTTCGCTTTCCGATTTACTCTCGCTTCGAATAACCCATCCCCGCCGTCCGTGCAAGGCTGAGCTGCCATCCGTCGCATTAAAGAAATATTGAGAATAATTATTCGAGATTTAGAGGAGTAACAAAGAATGGCACGCTAACTCATGCCTGGCGCCCAACTTACGTTAAGAGTGAATTCGCGATAATTCAGTGAGTAGCTACCGACTTAAAGTATCAGATTACAATCTGTTGAGTCATTGGCTGTTGAATTGCAATAATAGAAAAGCGACGAAGTTGTCAGTCGAAACTACAGTTACAAATTACAGAAAAATTTCCATGAAATATCATCTATAGTCTGTTCTTATTTCAAGGGCGTTTCAAATAATGTGGCTGGCTTATATCTTAAAATTATACTTAAAGTAATCTTAAATATAAAATGCGACTATGAATACCGACTATAGATTTCAGTGCGATAGAAAGATTAATCTTTGCTTGCAATAAATTCATTAACAATTTGGAAACAATTATTTCAAAAGTTGAAGAAATTTATAGAAAGAATATCACGATTGATTAAACATGTTTTATTAGTGAAAGGTGGTTCTTTTATGTGAAGTTTGACAAACAAAATAACTATATTTCATTTTTATTAAAATAAATAAATTTGTTTTACAGCTAAATGTCTATTTCACTTAATGTAGATATTGAATCAGGGTATCCTGATATTTGGCTAATCAATTCAAGAACAATTCTAGGACATGTCAGGTAAAAATCTTTTCAAATAAATTAATCTTCATCAGTTGATCAATTTCATTGATTCGCGCAAATATTGTGCCTTTTTATATTAAAATTTCAGAATTCCATGATGAATTAATTAAAACGCAAATAAATTTGAAACAATATTACTTCATGCTTTATAAATAATAAATGAACATTCAACAACAAACGATTTTATAATTACATTAAATTCATATTTTCTATTAATAACTTGTCTTATTGTATCTTTAAGAAAGTGTTTACATCCAAACACAACATTTCTTTTTATTAACATATCACAAACATCACTTTATAAACTTATTAATTAATTGACATTTCATAAGTTATTAGTCTAATTTTCAATGTACATACTTGCTTTTAAAGTTTCATCTACAATAATCATAAAATTCATCATTATCAACATAGTTTTTGCACATAAGCAGGAAATATTTCTTACTTCTTTCTTTTTTCATAATTCAATTTTTTTAAATAAAAGAATAACAAAAATTCCAGGTCAGTCCTGAAATTGTACAGGTATTTCAGAAGTTTTTCAAGATATATTAAATTCCAGAATAATTCTAGAATTTAAAGACATTCAAGGATTGCTGGATATTCTGTTGAATTACTAATTTTGGTGATATCCAGAAATGTTTGGACAATAAATATCAAATTTCATAAAAAATATTAGATAATTTATTTCTACACTTAATATATTAAAATAGTTTATCATTTAGCTCACCTACTGTTAGGATGAACTTCAATTTCACACTGATAGCACCAAACACTCCAATGATAAGAATCTGTCACCATGCAATGGCAGTCGCTATGAGGCTTCCTATAATGGTCAAAGGCATGCTGCTTTTCCTCTTTACTACAGCCTTGTTCTCCACATTGCAAGCAAATCCACAGAGGCTTTGAAATATCACACTGCAAATTTAAATAATTTTACATTAGATTTTAATAGCTAGTATATCGTTTCAATCAAATAATTGTATTTACAATCTCCTCTGCTGTCTTGAGATCCATCTCCAGTTTTTTGCACATGGAACATTTGCTCAATATACCAGTCTTTTTAAAATTTTTTTTTACTTTGTTCAAGTTAATGGCCTTTGCTATGTGCGGACATTTTGCACCTGCTAACAGTCAATTAATATTACTCCTATAATAAAATATAAGTTCAATTTAAATGTCTTTTTAAAGATTTTATAAATAGACATTTTTGAATGTGTTAAATTTTAAAATTTGTTTTTAAATTATTAAGTATTCGGATGTAAAATCTCTCGACTTAAAAATTTCTAAATTTGTATTGCTTTGTGTTGCTAAATTTCTAAGCTGCGCGATTTGCTACTAACTCTATTTTGAGAATTCAAAGATATATCCCTAGGAATCAGAGAAAGACCGCAGCGAACATAAAAAATTAAAAATTAAAAAAATAAGGAAGCTCGACAATACAATTATCTCCAAGATAATTTCGAAGATATCAGAAACTCTCAGGGAAGCACGCGTTTCTAACCTGAACACGTCTCCTCACAAGACTCTGTGGAAGCCTCACTGACATCCGGATTTGCGTCCGGTTGTCTGTTCCGCTTTTTACTCATCTCGCCGCACTATTCGTAAAAGTTCTCGTTTTCGCGTGCACACGTCCGTGTTCACCGCTCCACAGATCACCTCGTCAATTGAACCCTTATTGTGACCTGACGTTTGCGTGCGTAAAAAAAACCATGTGGAAACTGGGCTGCGTTCTACTTAAAGGTGCCTTTTCATGATGCTCGACACTCATTTTCAGCGTCTTAAAATAAGTCACGTGATTAAAATGACGCTTGATATTCGTCAATATTTATCATATGACTTATTTTGATGCCGAAAATGAGCGTCGAGCATCGACATGAAAAGACATCTTTAAGCCTTAAGCCATAAGGAATGGACGAATTACAATCAATTATTTTCCTCGCATTCGACTGCAGTTGATCAATTTCTTACGGCTTAAGATTTAAAATACCTATTATATATATCCGAACTAAGGGCTGACGCATACAAAATTTCTGTAACAGTAAGGAACTCCGCACAATGAAAGGAATAGAGAACAGAGAATAAGAATTTCAACCTATCAAAAATCATGTATTATAGAATACACAGTTTCTGATAGGTTGAAATTCTTAAAAGCATTCTATAATGCGTTGCAAACACTCGTTGCCAGTTGAAACGTTTATCGCGATAATCAATTAATGGTATTATTTATGCTTCTGATTGGTTCTGGTCGCTATAAACGTTTCAACTGGCAACAAATGTTTGCAACGCATTATATAATGCCTTGTATTCTATGTCCTCTATTCCTGGTTCCTTTTATTGTGCGAAGCCTTACCTTAAGACGTGAACTTAAGTCGATGAATCAATCAGGATATTTAGATCTCCCCTAATGGAAATAGAAATAGCAGTAAACTTATCCATAAGATGAGTTTCAATAAGTTGAAATTCACCTTATTGTAAGGTTATGAATAAGTTTACTGTTATTTCTATTTCTATTAGATTACGTAATCTAAAGCAGTATCCTGATTGGCTCATTGGCTTAAGTTTACACCTTCCGCATATTGTTGAATTTTGTGTGCGGCAGCCCTAATTGGTTTATTTCTTAAGCCCGATGTCCACGATGCTAGAAATCGGTCCGAAAGAAAAAATTAACAAATCACGTTAGGTGCATCCAGAAGAACGATTGCTTACTGAGCGTTCAGCGAGCTCTTGCATTTGATTGGCATATTCCATTAAATATAACAATGTAGACCAAACAGATAAAAGAGCTCGAGAGTTGAGCGGTTGTGCTTCTGAATGCATCCATTTGAATAATTTGATCACATGATCATTGCGATTGGTCAATTTTTTCTTCATTCGAGATCTCGGTCCGGCTTTACGATTTAAGGTACGTGTTCATGGTGTCGCTAGTCGCTCATATTTAACGACAAACGAGGCATGTGATTTCATATGTCGCTCATATAAATGAGTTAGCAGCGATAAATTTTTGACATGGGTTTTGAGCCAGGTACTTTAAAGATTTATAACAAGATTTATAACATCTTTTCTATAATTTCAAAAAAATTGAAATTTGCTTATTATTTATATATTGATTTGATTTATCAATATTCTTACTTCTTTCAAAAGACACTGTATTTTTTCATTATTTGTATAATTAATAAAATTGTGCTTTTTTTACGAATATTATGTTAATTACAGATTTTACGTTATTTACTATTTTTTTTATAGAAGAGTCTTGTTATACAATATATTATACACGCGCGCATGCATTAAATAAAAAATAATGAATTCTTTTAGATGTTCAGAAAATTCTGAAATATATGCCTGTCACAAATTTGAAACCGGATAATGAAGACGCAGAAAATGAGGAAAAGCTTTTGGCCAACTACAATACAAAGAAGAAATACAGACAAGTACGAGAAGTTTTTAAATTTGTAATATTTGTTTAGTAGTTTTTATTCATTAGATCAGGACTTCCCAAACTTGTGTGAATTTTTTATGACAAATATCCATGACTTAGCTAGCTCTAACAAATGTGGAAAAAGAAAGAGAAGAATAAATTATTCATTATTTTTTTTATTTAGAAATCTTTATTAAATATAATTTTGTAAATTTATTTCTCAAATACATGAAATGAAATATGTATTTGAAATGGAAGTGATTTGCGATCAAGTAAATTCAATATTTTGCGTCTAGTATTTCTAAGATGATCGCCTTTCTTTTAAGAAAATCTTACCATCTTGTCATTTGTATTTTATGTTTACTAAGAATCAAAAGGCGATTGAGATTTATATGATTAATTTGTAATTAATGATTACTTTTGACTTCTAGACGGTGATGTTCACTGCCACAATGCCACCGGCTGTGGAACGACTTGCTAGGACTTACCTGAGGAGGCCGGCTGTAGTGTATATTGGCAGCGTCGGTAAACCGACAGAACGCACTGAACAGATAGTTCATATAATGGGTGAAGCTGACAAACGAAAGAAACTTATGGAGATACTCAGTAGAGGT